ACATTGCGGCACCTCCAGTTTCACTCTCACTAGCTGTAGAATCACTTGCACTACTTATTAGTTCCATTTCAGAATCAGATTGAGGCAAGTCTGATTGAGAACTACTCGAACCACATTCTCTTTCGCTAAAGGATGCTTTTACCAATTAACCCATAGACAAGGGCAACTTATCACACTGCATCTTCTTCACTATTTGTGCTTTTGACTAAAACTCCAGAAGCAAGACATTTTGAGAAATAGAAACAAGCTTAGCAGTGCATTCATTTGTTAGTCTATTCCTCTTTTTTGTCTTGACTGAGCTGAAAGCCTTCCAGTTCCATTCACAAGAAGCTGCTGTTAGTGGAATTCTTAGGATCCTTAAAGCAATCCTACACAACAGTCAGGTGTTACAGTAACCCTTCCACCATGTAAGAGGAGACACATTCTCCGCGGCCTGCCAAATGATATTTTTGCTCCAATGTTTTTCTTTTGCACGATAGTTGGCAATGTCTGCCATCACAGCTATTTCATCGATGTTGGGGATGTTCTTAGCCACTTCTTTAATTGTACTGAGGGCTGTGAATAATTCATCTGATAAATGTTGTCCTCTGTGTTGCGGAGCGAAAAGGTTTGCTGCCAGATTAACTGGATGAGAGCAAAACTCAGATCTCTTAGTAAACATTTGTTTTACTTCTTTTTTGTATAGAGGTGAAGAAGGCAAATGCTGAATTATATTTTCATTCAGTTGTCTCAATATCTCTGGAATATTAGAAAGGCTTGGTGTATCTCCTTCAAGTTTCTTGATAGCAACTGAAATTGGTAGTAGCAAATTGAATGCTAACCTTGAACTAGAACCCAGAACACGTCCTTGTTGAGAATCTGCTTCCGAATGTTCCTGGGAATAATCTGGGACACTGTCATCTAGTGAAGCACACTACAAACAGTTCTTTGTGTGCAGCAAACTATGTAAACACTTCGTAGCCGAGCCCCATCTAGTTGCTCCTGGCAATAAAAGTGCACTTTCCTTCCCCTGCTTCTCTTTCTGTAATTTCTTCAAAGTCTGATTAGCACCATGATGATTTTTGAATACCTTAACAATTGCTTTGCAGTTTGCCAATATTGTCTTGACTGTATTTACACTTACTATGTCCTTTGCCAGAAGATTCAAACCATGAGCAAGACAGCCAAATACTATTAAATGAGGATACTTTGCCTTTTAATATTTGCCATGCAGCTTTCATATTACTCGCACTATTAGTTACAAGGGATTGTACCCTGGAGGGACCTGCACTTTCAATCTCTTCACTTGGTAATTTGGCTATGTAATCACCTGTATGATGAGAAGATTTGGTAGCAATAGCTTTCAGGAATATTGGTTTAGGTGTTGCTAACATAACGTTCAATAAAGGATTTCCTTGTATATCAGTCCATCCATCTGAAATCAGTCAGTCATTCTGCTTGACCAATCGCTTGAATAACCATTGTTTGAACTCTGTCATACTCTCTATCTAAGAGAATGTGATAAGCAATAATATGACAGTAACTTATATGATGGGCAAATTAGTTCATAAAGTTCCTTCCAGTATTGATTTTCAGTTATGGAAAGAGGTGTACCACTTGAAATATAGCTCAAGCTAATGCAAAGGGAGGCAATTATTTTGGGCGGAGGGCCACTAACCCAGTTTTGGCAGGCTGTCGAGGGCCACATGGGTAGCCCCGCTACTTGACAGGTGTCCCACCCCCTGGTCACTATCTTGGGACCAATGTCCCAGGGCCAGCACCAGTGGGGCCCAAAGTGGGGCACAGGCTGGCAGGGGTCTGTGGAGCTGGGCTGGGCTGCACCAGCAGGGAGAGGGGGGAGCTGGCCTGGGTCCATAGAGCCTCTGCCAGCTGGGACCCCGCGCTCCTGCCACCCTGCTCTGGCCCCTGCCAGCACTGACCCCAGGACATCGGTGTGGGCCCCATGCTCCCACTGGCTCCCCGCCCACTCACAGCCAGTGCCCCCCAGCCCCGTGGTACAGGCGGGGGGCAGTGTACAGCTTCAACTCCCTGCTCACCGGCAGGGAAGAAGCTGGTGCTGAGCGTAGGGAAAAGCAGCCCATCACCCACCCCATGGCTGGCACTCCCTGCTGCAGGCACTCGCAGCCCACATGGGGCTGTCTAGAGCAGGCACAGGCAGGCTCAGATGGGCTGTGAGCGGCTGCAGTGTGGGGCATGGGCCACACAGCGAGTGAGGGGCCACTCTTTCCCATGCTTAGCACCAGCTTGTAACCCGCCCCACTGGGGGAAGCAGCCCCTTGCAGACCCCATGCCCAGTGCCCCGCACTGCAGCTGCTTGCAGCCCACCTGGGGCTGCCTGTGCCTGCTCCAGACAGCCCCTCGTGGGCTGCAAGCCCCTGCAGCAGGGACTGCTGTCCATGGGACAGGCGAGGGGCCACTTTTCTCCATGCAGGGAAGAAGCCCAGGGAAAAGCTGAATGTGGGGGGGGAAGCAGCCCCTCCCCTGCCCCATGGCTGGCACTCCCTGCTGCAGCCGCTCGCAGCCCACATGAGGCTGTCCAGAACAGGCACAGGCCACCTCACGTGGGCTGTGAGCAGCTGCAGCACAGGGTGCTGGCCATGGGGCGGGGGAGGGGGCCATTCCCCCCGTGCTCCTTCCCTGCCCGGGGTCCCCCCTGCCCTTCTTCACCCCCACTTACCTGTGGTTCTGGTGCAGGACAGCCACGTGCTCCCAGGCCAGAAGTCCCGGCAGGGACTTCCTGCTGGGGAGGGGGGGGCCAGGCAGGCCCCGCTGTTGTTGGAGCCCACTGGGCTTCCCCTGGGTCCCACTGCCCGTGGTTCCTGTCATTTTTGACAGGAACCAAGGGCAGAGAAATATTAATTTTCTACATTTTTGGGTGCCCCGCAGGCCAGGTAGAATGGCCTGCAGGCCGTATTTTGCCCACCCCTGAGCTAATGTCTCATCTGCTTTTTCTTGATCTTCTTTTGACATTTTGTCCACAAATCTGGATAAAAAGCTTGACTTTTATGGTGGATTGCATATCTGGTGGTAGTGATCTTGAAAGTGAGGATCCTGCTTTTTCCTCCAGACCTGGCAGCTCAACATTTTCATTTTCCATTTTTTGCAAATTGGCTATTTCACTTGAGCAGCGAAGTTCCTGCAACGAAAGGTGGAAAAGATTTTTATTTTAGTTTATTTTAGCCTGGCCTCATCCATAGCCTGGCCTCATCCATCAGAAGAAGAAGAAGTGGCAGGGAGCTGCCTTCCCCCCGCCCCCTGCCAGAAAGATCACTCTGCTGCTCAATTTGCTGTTCAGTTGTCCTGGGACTGCAGAGCTAAAGGGAAGTATAGTCTGGCCTCTGCCACCGGCCAGAGGACTCAGCTCACTCTGCTGGATTGAAATAGTTAACTATTTATCTATTATGTAATTAAAAAATATATATATTGTTAAGCCTAAGCCAGCAGAAAAGCAGGATACAAATATTTTAAACAAATAAATACAGTCCAGAGTTGCATTAACAACTTTTAAAATTATAGTGTTTTAAAACAATATAGAAGCTAATCTATACTGTGTGTTATTTAACATATTAATTTGTTTACTTACAAAGGATTCCTAAAGTAGACTTTTCTCAGATGATGTTGTTCCTCCACTTTGTTGTATTAGCTTTCTGTATATGGCTTGTACTTTTTCAGGACAGTTTTTACATGTTATTAAATGTTTCTTCATTCTTGTTGCGTTGTTAGCATACTCCTGCCCACAGAATTTACATCTACCAACTTTCTTCCTTCCTTCAGTGGCTTAACTTCATTATAATGATATCACACACTAGTTTTTTTCTGGTTAGGCATTATTATGACTACGTCAATGCAAAAGCACTAGAAAACTAACAGATCTTACACAAACACTTCCAACTTTCCCAACTCAAAGAAAGAAATGAGACGTTGCTCCGCGTGTTTGCTGAACTGAAAGTGAAACAAAAATTAATCACAGTTTTAGTTTTGGCTTTGGTTTCACTTGCAGTCTGAGATGAAATAAGAATTTTAGCTTTGGCTTTGATTTGACCTGCACAGCCAACTAGGTGGATTCATAACTTGGTTTTTGGTTTGGATTATTATGCAAGTGTATTTACCCTCCTGTTTACAAATCAATAAAACATATATCTATTCTCTCTCAGTTTCTAGGGATAATTACCTGAAAAACATTAATTACAACTTTGAAACTGCCAAGCTTACCTAATATTGTATTGGCATCTATTCATTGTTAGTAATGAATTTTATGAAACAATTAATTTTTAGAAATGGAAAATTTCCTATAGAAAAATAAAGCACTGGAAAATTTTCCGCCCCACATGTCTGCAGCTTCTATTGTTGTCTGCCTTCCTGCTCCCAGGTCCTCTATGAATTTATGCCTTCTGGTTTTCATAATTTTAAGGATGAGAATTCAGTCCAATCCACTCAATGTCTAGCTATGTTCTGACAACTGAAGTGTGTTTCAACAGGTACCTTCCAGCATGTGTACTCCACAATGGTGAGCATCAACCTAAGGAAATGAGGGTAATCTGCTACAAAGGAGAACAAAGTAACTTCAGTGCGGATTATGCTCTTCAGGTTTGATGATGGTCTTTCTTGATTTTTACCACAGTGTAAGAGTGATGTTGTAGCCAACCTATAAGCTGTTACCAGTGTACAAGTGAGAGGAAAACTATGTGGCCTTCCAGGCCCAACCACAAAGATAAATAATCACGTGTACATTCTTCATACATCCACAGTTCACAACTATAATGACCTGTTTAAGACTATAATGGTATTTTGAAAAGAACCAATGCAGTTTAAGCTCTTTTATCCCATATTCAAAAGTGATTTAGGTATTTGTAGTTTAGACCCCCTCTGAAAATTTACATTTATGAGCCTAAAGCTGCATTTAAATTTTAAGACTTAGTGTTTTAATTAAAATTACGTTTGTGAATTAAAACTGAATTTAGATCAACATTTAAGCGAAAGAAAACATAGCACAGACTCACATTTTTGCCACAAATGTTTCAAGAACATGGCTGTCATCTGTTATTCCTAAGACTTCTGACATTCGGGCATACACCTGAAAATAAACATTGCAACAGTAACATATATAAATGTATAAGTACAAAATATTACTTATTCTAAAATTATATTAATCCTTTCCTATTTGGGTTTTGCTGAAGAGAGGCACAGGCATGAATGTAGATTATTTTTTCAGTCTGTCTGACACTGGCTAAATCAGCATATGGATGATTCATATCCTTCAAGGCAGTGATTCAGGAATTTGGGGCTGATAGATTTTCACTTACCATTGCATAAACATATCCTCCCACAAAGAAACTTTAAATACTCAGCATAAACAATGCCCTCACTTTGTGGCTCAGGGAGCAAACCATCTCCTTTCAAGGAGGTAATGGTGCTTTATAAACAGCTTCAAATGGGTAGAGAAAAGCAACACAGTACAACATCAATATAATGAACTCCCATGACACAAGGAGAAAAGGTCATTAAAAGGTGTTTGCTACCATAAGATTAGCTAATTTGCTGTATGATAATTATGAAAAAAATGGTTCCTGTTGTTGGGACTGTTAAAACCAAGGGTTTATTATAATAAGTGCATAGTGCATATGATGTACTCTCCACCATACTGTAGCATCAGTAGCATGAACATAAACAATGCTCCTCAGCTTTCATTTATATAAATCGTTACACAGCCAGTTGTGAAATCTGGTTGAATTAGATATTCCCTAGATTTCAGTTTTGGGCTTTTTCTTCTCTTGGCAGTCAACTAACTTGAAGACATGCTTTCTAATAACCCTTTGTCCCGGGATATGTACTACTGCTCTTGTCCTAAAATTCCACCAGTCAGATCTAACTCCTCTTGTGAAATAATATCAATGAGTAGGCTAAAGGATTTGTAGCATTATACCGCAGATTTACCAGATAGTCTTACAAGATGTTGTGACATTTTTAATAACCATAAAACTAATTACTTTGTACAACTCTGACAGAGCCAGAAAAACAGATGCTTTGTGAAATACTTCACTGTTGGTCTGCCAACATACCTTGCCAAACTACATAATCTCTGAGATTCATTCAAGACCTGGACTAAAGATAGCTTTACCAGCTAGTGCAACTCAGTTTAGTCTCTTTTAACCCTAATTGATGTCAGAACAAGGACTTTCAAATATTTAATCCTTCCACATTATGTGATCAGATCAAGTATCTACTAAGATCTAAAATGGGAGAAACAATTTCAGAACATGTGTAACCTAAGCCACCTAGTAATGAAAGGCTGGTGCCATCTAGTGCCAATTTTATTCTGGACCATTACTATCACACTATAAATTACACAGAATTACAGACTTCAAATATATCTCTTAAGATACTAAACTTATTTGAAGCAAATTCTATTACTTCAAGTGATGCTCACCTTCTCAGTTATTCTTGAAAAAAGAATTTTATACTATGATGGAGCAAGTGACAATCATATATTCATGTTCTACACATTTCAACAGTTTTTAATCAAAATACAATAAAGCCATGATTCAATCCAATTTTTGCTCTAATGAAAGACTACACCAAAGCTCAACAGCAAGGATATATTTACTTACAGTTTTGGTCAAAAGTCAATTTTTAATAAGATTATACTGTATTATGATAAAAATGTACACTGAACAGGACATTTATAAATAATAAAAGTATGATGACAAATAGTATAATCTCTCTATATATTTTCAAAAATATTTGACAAATTATCATTTATAGCACTGGTATTTAAACAGGTTTCAAAATATTTACAATAGCATACTTAAATGTTTTTTTAAAACATTAAACACCATGATTTTTATCCTGAAAACTACTACTCCTGTAACAAGCTATGCTATCCATGACTTTTGCAAAAAGTTTTACCTTGTTTTCCTACTTTTTTTATACGTGATCTTTGAAAGTTTTACATTCCTTACTAACACACACTGATATTCAGATGCTTTCTAACAAGAAGGAGAGAAAGCTAGACTGGATGTGAACAAGCATCTGCTCTACTATCGTTGGGTTATGTTGTCAAACTAGGCTTTCACCATCCAAGTTTAACAAATAAAATACTGGAACTGCAGTCAATGTTGACAAAGAGCACTGCTTTAATCCACAATTATCCTTATAACTCTTACTACTCCTTTTATCATCCATTAGCTTTGATTCCCATTATCCCATCAAGAACTGTGTCAACGCTTTTGTCCCTGGGGATTCCCCTCAACTACTAGGATCTGACAGCCAAGGGTGAGTGCTAAACAGGATCATTACCTCTTAAATCCACTTATCTGATCCACTGAATAGTAAATTGAAAAGCTCATTAACAGCAACAATCTGATTTGTTTCCACATGTGACAGGGTCATTTTAAGTCAGGGTATGAATACACTGTTTGCTTTAAAGACTCCTACACATTTTGTGACAAATCTTTAGCAAAAATGCACGATATTGAAGTGATTAGAAAACATCTACAACAAATACAAAGCAATATAGGTATAAAAGTGACAGCCACAACTATAAGTCTGCTCAACTTAATTACACTTGAACACTTACTGTGAAAAATCTAAACAAAATCAGATTTAGCTGTATTCTCAACATTTCATGCATTCATGCAATTCCTCCTTCTCCATGTAATCTGTGGAGAATGTAACTGTTACCTTTCATGGCACAAGGCAGGGTAGAGATGCACCTTACGTTACATTTTATATTACCTTCTGTAATTCAATAATCCTTTGTTTTCAGTCAAGTATTTGGGGCAAATACTGCAATTCCCTCATACAGAGTGCATCTACACATGCACATTTACTGTGCAGAAATAAAAATAATTGGGCAGTATGGGCATGTCTACACATGGACACCCATACTGTGCAGTAAATATGGCAATTTAGGCCAATTTGAGTATAAATTTGGTATCTGCATCATGTAGGTATCAAATTTATGCCTGATTAATTACTGCACAGTAACACATGTGTAGATGCCTTACTATGTAGTAACACCGTGGACTGATGTGGGACTATAGCACTTTAACGCCTGCACATGTAGACACTGGCCTATTCCCGTTTACTCTACAGTAAATTCAAGCCAGCGTAAAAACACGTGTAGACATGCTCACAGTGTAGTACAGTGATTCTCAACCAGGGTATGCTGAGATCCTCTGAAGGGTGACACAAGGTATGAGGAGATAGGCAAGGTGTGAGGAGATAAACAGATAAGCACAGGCTCAGGCTTGTCTCTTTCTGGCCAATTCACCACCCCCACAACTCAGCTCCTCTGCAAGGAAGTAAGTACTGTTATATACAAATTACTGTATTTACTCAGTCCAAAGAGGGTTTTTTTCCCTAGTCAGTATCTTAAATTCAAGTAAAAGGTGGAGAGGTGGCAAGGTAGCTCCTGCTGCGCTAGTCCCAACCTGGGTTTGGGGTCCCTGCCACTCTCTGCAGCCTTGGTCCTCTTTTGGCTAGGCAGCAGCTCCAGCCCTGGTTCCAACCAATGCTGCAACCTGCTATTGCCACAACCAGCGAAGCCTGGCTGGGTAGGGGCTAGAGCTGGGACTTAGAGTAAGTGGCAAGGGGATCAAGCAGGGGGGCAGTGGCACAAGGGGGCTGGCACAGGGGTTGAAGGCAACAGTGGGGGGTAGGAGACAGAGGGGTTGCATTAATGGGGGGACAGGAGGCAAGCTGCAGGGGAGCAAAGACAAAAAGTCGAGCCATTTGACTCCCCCTGTTGCCAGCCCCCCTGCCACTGCTTCCCCTGCTGCAAAGGGTGGAGAGACATGAATTTAAGATGACAGCCCAATAATCAGATTTTATACAGGGAAAATTATAATCTATTTATAAATTCTCCATCTCCAGAATCTAATTATTGGGGGATCATCTTTAATTCAAAGTTGTCTTGGATTTTGGTAAAGACAGTAGTTTTGCCACTCAGTTCACAAAAGTTATGGATGGGTGCCTCAAGTTCAAAAACACTAAGAACCACTCGTAGGAGATATTTGTGAGCTACATATACATTCTTGGTTACATTTTGAGTTTGTTTTGAAAATTGTAAAGAAATGTAAATATCTATAAAAAACATCATTACCAAGAAGACAATACTCTCCTGCTTTGAGAAATGCCATGGTTCTTGGGCACCATGAGTGCTGAATGCAAGCATTTTTGGACATAAAACACATGACAATTTTAAAAAGGGGAATGTACACAGAGTACTACAGGGGGGTGTGACAGGTGTGCAGAAACTGCTCTTGTTTTAAAATTTCTAATTTAAAAATAAGTTAGAATTACTTGGCTTATATCACTGGGTCACAAACATAGGAGCAATGTATGTGCTCAGATAGGCTGAGTTCCAGGGACTGCATGGAGATGCCCTTTCTGAGGTATCCGAATCCTAAACCAGTTCATAGAACATGAAAATGCAAGTTCTGAGACATTCACATGCCTTTAGATCCCTTAAATAAAAAGGATTTCTCCATAAATTGGAAAAATCTTACAAATAAATATTTTATATTACGCTAAATGCACAAGCTTTAGCATCTGTAGAGTTTCTACATAATTATTCTTAAACCTTCTCAACAGCAGTATCTGCAATTTCACAAGGGAATCAATGCATACCACTGTGTGCCAATATCATAATATCGTAACGTAGTATTATAGGAAAGTATGGCATCCCTTATTTTCCCATCTAATTCCCATCTTTCCCTTACTGAAGGCAGGATCATCCCAGACTACACAATCTCAGCCAAGTGTTTGTTCCACACGCTCCTGAAAATTTCCAGTGATGGCGATTCCACGTTCTCTAGACAGCCTGTTCCAATAACTGACCCTCATAGTGAGAGTTCCTCCTAATTCACAACTTAAATTTTCTTTGCTACATCTTGAGTCTATTGCTGCTAGTCCTATTTCCTATAGCCACAGAGAAAAGTGCATTTCCATCCCTCTATAATAACCCTTCAGGTACTTGAAGGCTTTTATAAAATCCTCCCACCCTGCTTCAGTCTTCTGTTTGCCAGGTGAGCCTATAAACTTCACTTCATCAACCTCCTAGATACAGAAACT